GGAAGACTTTAGTGACAGCAGGAGAGAAAAAATTAGGTCACATAACAACAAAGAATGTAGGATAAGACAAGTAAACAGATCCCTGAAAGCAGCAACTTTTGTTCAAATTTAACATTTCTCTGTCATCGTGTGTTCATTATGGGGACAGAGTTGTAACATCATGTGACAATATTAAAACCTGCATTAGTGTCTTAATAACTTCAACATTAACACTAAATTAAATGATCTATGTAATGTGAAAGGTGTCTTGGTGCTGCAGTCAAAGAATTATCATTAACTCGAATGCTCTACAGCAGGCAGCTGTTTTCAGCAAATGCTCTCTGATAAACCCTACCTGGCCTGCACCAAACAACAGAGAAAGTCAATGACAAGCTGATGAGGAAAGCTAAGGTACAAGTGACAAAAGTCATTAAAACAGTATATAATCTCAAGATTTTTGAATTTGAGTCAAATGTCACAACACCGTCTGCACAGATAGATATATATACAGAATGTAAGGCCAGCAGCTGTGTGATAAATTAGATTTAAAATGAGTGTTTACAAAGGTGTCTACTTCTTTGCAGCATACTGTACATGGTGTTTACTACTTTTACTTTACTTTACTTTATTAGATTTTTTGGTCAAAAAGCAAAATTAAAATTTCAATTATTACACAAAAAAAGAAAAACACGAACCATAAAAGTACATACATCTCCATTTGGACAAAAGCATGCATGTACACATACATAACCATACAAAAATAAAATAAGATAAATAAAAACAAGATATACTACTGTATGCTGGTAACTTATGGTGCTGCGTTAACCATGTTTAATGCAGTAGACCACTGACTAGAGACGAAAAACCCAGCATAACAGATTATAAGTAGCACCTGTATAATACAGATACTGTATGGTTTGACAATTCGGATCCCTATACTCTTGGTGGACCATATAGTAGGCTTTGCACGTTGGATTTTATGAGCCTCATGCAGGTTTAAAAGCACCACATTATTGATGTAACGCCATCCTGCAGGGCACCACAGATGCAGTGCGGTGAAAAAGTATGACACTTTGAATGCCCTAATCTGTACTGGAATTGTCATATAGTGAATCTATCTGTAAACAGCTGTTAGAAAAATCACTAGTATCATGGATAAAGTACATGTCCTAACTAACTTTCCAAAATTTGTCTGTTAACATGACATTTGTGGAGTGGTTAAAAGAAAATGTCTCAGTGACTTCAACTTAAATACATGTAAACTTCTGACTTCAACTGTATGTGTTGGGCTATTTCTTGGACATGACCAGTTTCCAGATAACCTGTGATTATTATTAATTTTAATGACCCTAGGTTTTCATCTTATATAAGTCATTTTCTTAGTTACAATCAATAAGAATAGTATGCCCTAGTACAAGCACAGGGCTGGTGGTCAGCAGCATTTTGTTCAATTTTAATGAAAGACTCAAAAAAAAAATTATACCTTATCAAATCTTTTAAATCTTAGCATTTAACATTTTAATTAGGCTTAAAAAGGTATAAATGGACTAATACTCAAAAATGATTCAGCTGACCTGTTGACTACAAAGACAAAAAAAGGTTTTAATGTCAGACTAATGTTCACAACCTGAAAATGAAATAAGGAGCATAAATGTTGGCCATGTATGGGAACTATTTAAAACAACATTTTGCATTTTTTTCCTAGCGCTTTTATCGTTTCTATAGGTTTTACAGTTTCTTAAAATAATTTTGATTAAAAACATAACATATTGGTGTCAAATCTTAGATCAGATTGGCTGTATTTAATTTCATTTTTAAAACTTCTAAAACAGGCAAAAGAATTTTTGACACTGATTTTCAACCCAACACAGTTCTGCAAGCTGGTACAAACTTTAGCTAAGAAATTATAAAAGCTCAAAAGTGTGCAAGTCCTGTATGACACAGAAACTTAATTATTGCAAGTGGCCTAAATTTTGAATAACTAGCAGAAATGTACCAACAGATTATTTTAAAAATTGCAAACTGGAATTGTGCAAAATTTTTATGTTTTCTTTTTCTTGCTTTGCAGCCTGTGGGATGAATATTATCCTGATTGGAGGAAGTGATAAAACAAAGACAGCACTAGGTAACTTTATTATACAGCAAAGGGAATTTCGGTGTTCGATACTATTTGAAGATGAGGATTGTGCTCATGCATATGGAGAATGGAGGAGAGAACCATTAAGAGTAGTGAAAACCCCAGACATTTTTAAACTTCCTTTATTATCTGGGACAAAAGAAATGATGAAGTGCATGAATCTTTGCACAACTGAACCAACTGTTATGTTACTGTTAGTGAAGCCTTCTGAATTCACAGAAGAAAAACGACAAGCACTAATGGCAATGATGAGCTTGTTTGGACAAGATGCATTAAAATACTCTATGGTTATAATAACACACAATTATGGGAATGAGAATCCATCAGTGGATAAAGTCATCGAAGACTGCAATCAAAGGCTACACAGAATGAATTTTGATAAAAAATATCTAGCCAATAACGACCTTGAAGAGTTGATGAGAAAGATTGAGAGTATGTTGAGTGAAAATGGGACACAAGAATCCATCACAGCAAGAGAATATTCCACTTCCCCATTGATCAGGGGGATTACCATAAAAAAACTCTTAAAAAAACTCTCTGTGCTAAATTCATATGGCAAAGAGACAAAAATAAACTCCCAAATAAAAGAAAATATCAGAACACTGGATGAGTGTCGCAGCAATATAAAACTGATGAAAGACATGATAGAACAAGATGGCTGGGAAAAACTGAATA